TCACCATTATCAGTTTTTTCTATCTTGTAAACTTCGCTGTTGTATCTTAGGTCCATCTTTTCCTTTTTGATTAAAGATAAAAAGGCGTTTGGAAATCGTTGCATTCCTTTATCAATAGTTTTCCAGGATAAAGGATATTTAAGATTGTCAAAAGTATAAGATGCAATGGCCATATCAACAAAGCTCAAAAAAAACTCGCCTAATAATGAATAATGAGGTCATAGTTAGCTACATACCATATGGACAGTTGAAATATCAAAATAAATAATTATGTAATTCATTCCTATGCCCGCTATTTGCAATTCAATAGCACTTATAATTTCATCATAATCTTCCGCCTGTTTCGGTAATCGTGCAGGAAGAAAGACTTCCTTTAGATAAGAATAGACGGAATATTGATAGTAACGTTTTAACATTTTAAGTCCTTTTGTGAAATCGGTATTTAAGACATCAAAGAATGGCTGTAATGCTTCATTCCACAGATCGAGAAAGTTGGATGGGATTGAATCAGGGTATCCTAGTTGACTGGCTTCTACAGTCGCAGAATAATTTTTGGTCATCAATTTATCAGTATGACCTTTTTTGTTGTTGAAATAATATATGGCACTATAAAAGGGATGTTTAAGATTGAATACCAAAAAATTAGCATTACTTTATAACGACAATAATAAAAAAAATACTAAGGAAAAATTATCAACTACAAACTTTGAATCACTAAATATATAGGGGATAGTTTTGATCTGCTTCTTTTGGTCATCCTTATTGTACTCGTTCAAGTAATAAATAGTATCAAAAACTAATTGATGGGGGGAAAGCTCGGGACGGCCTTCAACGTAAGGTAACCTCATTGCACCAATTTCACCGTATAAACGTCTTTCGTCATCAGGGTCAGCGGTAAAGTAGTGAGTAAGAACTCGTCCACCAACGCGACCTTGATATTCAAGAATGGTAATGTCCTTGATTCCTGCTTCTTTCAAGAGAAGTGCCGAGAATAAACCTGAAGGAATATAAATGTAATGAGGGAGTGTACAATGTGAAACTATTCATCCAAGCATTATTTAAGTAAATTAATATACCGGCTAATCCGGCACCGATGATGCAAATTTCTAATAAAGAAGTACGTGAGAAATTATTTCATTCATGAGAATCAAGCATGTAGGAGATATTTTACTTGGATTTTCCGCAGGAGTATCTCGAGGAAATATATCTGTATTGTCATCTTTAAGTCTGAAAATGGAATCGATATAAATATCATTGATTGAATGAAATGAAATTATTTTTAACCATATGCTGATCACCTTTTAACGTAATCAAAGTAATAATAAGATTTCAGATGGGCATAAAATCTTTCATTATCTGGAACCCTGTTGAGCCGGCAAGATTTATCTTTTTTGCTCTCTTCTACAATGCATATAAAAATGGGACAATATATAGATAAGAAACTTACAGTTTTCTTACATCATTTTTATTTTTTTTTTAAAAAAATGAAATAATAACTTACGGCCTGTAAGATTTAGAAAATGGATAAATGGATTTTAAAATTGGTTAGCAATTAGAAACAGATCATTATGAAAATTGAATGTAAAAATGTATATTAAATAACTTTTACTTTGAGCAATTATAGCAAGCGTTGAAATTAGAACTAACGCTATAATGAAAATGAAATGGAATTTTGGTAGCATGATGATCTCGTTAGAAAGTAAAGAGCGAGGATAAAGTTTGTTTGCTATTTTATACTTTTTGCTGTAGATGAAAAGATAGATTTTACACCCCTGTTCTATTGCACTTTATTTTCTATTCCCTAATTAGCTTTTTTAAATTTATAGATGGTGTACCTTGATAAAATTTTGTTTATGGCTTTTTTTTTGCATAACAAACATTATTTTGATTATTGGGTTCCCGTTCGAAATTGAGAATTTCACGCATTAGTATTGTCTCTCCCAAAAATATGCACCTTATCCGAATTATAATGATTTTGGACCACATTATGACAATCTATGCATGGAACGGACCATAATTACGGTTACATCGACGTAACTTTGTCTGATATTTGATCTAAAAATATGCATAAAATGCAGTTTGGTCTCGCATAATTATTTTTGTTATAGATTGAACATAGGAATAAAATAAATTGGAAAATTTTAATGGAATTATATATATTCAGAATTATTGGGTGGAAGCAAAAATCATTTGACAATAATGTCCATTTACTCGCAACGCAGAAAGAAAGAAGCAATTCCTTTTAAATTAGAAAATTTATAATATCACTAATTAACTGAAAATAAAGTTTGATTTATTTCGTTCGTATCCGTTAATGATAGTCAGCCGGCTTGTTCGATAATGTACAAATGACAGGTCAGGTGTGCAGCAGGCTAAACAAATTCAGCACTTTCAATAAATAAAATAAATTTGGCATGATTTTAATTTTTTGTATTACGTGATCGTGGACAAATTTCCTTAAAAAAATATATATACAAATAAAGAACTAAAAGTAATTCAAATATCATCTCATATTTGATCTGGCTAAAATTATCATGATTTTGATCTTGACAAAAAGCAAGTTATGCATGTTCGATGTACAATTACTCAGGTATATAATGCTAGATGATTAATAACTTTTAATTGGACCGTTTTTTCACTTAACGCGAAAAATGACGTTTATACGGTACTAAGAATAGAAATTTCATAAAAAAAAGCGTAAAATAAGGTATTCTAAATATTTTCTCTTCATAGATATATATATTATAAATATATATTTTTTTTAATCAACTCCAATCAAGAAAAAAATGATGTCTTTATTAATGTTCAAGAAAGGATCGAGGGTACGTAATACAAACATAAACAAATAAAAAAATTTTTTTTCGCATCAACTCATTCTCTTCAAAAATTTTCAAGTCTCTGCGTTATACGTAGGGATGGGAAAGATCCAAATGTTGGTTTCCATTTTTAAGTCGAAGCGGTTATAAGAGAATCGACTTAAAAGAGTTGGCACTTTTAAATTGAAGTATTAATTGATTGATTATTTTAAGATGTAAATAAAATACATATAATGATTTTAAATTTGCAAAGAAATTTTGTAATTTTTTTGTAGCAAAGAAAAAATAACATCATAAACGGAGTTGATATATATCTGATCATGTAGAGGCTTATGTGCCACAATGGTTTTATTGTAGATCATTTTTATACTAAATTAAATAATCAATTTAATAAACACTTTCTTTTTTTTCTTTTTTCTTATAATTTCACTCTTTTAAATTTTTACTTTTCTAACAAGTAATTTCATTATCTTTCTTTGATATTATAGAATCTACTGAATTTGAATATCTAAATATAAATGGGAAATAACTTAATTAGAGTTCTAAATAAGCTGAACCAACTTTTAAATCAAATGAGTTGAGTCAGCCAAATAAATTTGACTTGTTTAATTTGAGTCAAATTTCAAGTTAAGCTTAATTTGATTAAGATTTCTTGAGCTAAACTCGAGTATAAAGTAAAGCCTAAAACTAGAGCCTAAAGTTAAGCTGAACTTAAGGTTGCTTGTCTAAACTCATTTTGGATTTGGCTAAATATTTAAACCTTTAGTTTCGCTAAATTTTTACTAAGTGTTTAATATAGTTTCACTATTTTTATAAGCTTTGATATAGTTTTACCTTTTTTCTGATTTCAGTTTTTAATAAAATTTTAATATAATTTAACCAAGTTTTACATTTTATCATTAGACATTTATCTAAACTCTGGATTTTATCTAGCAACCTTAGATGAACTCAAGTAAAATTTAATTTTTTTTTAAAAGAAGTATAAAAAAATCATTTAGATAGAATAATATGGGAGCTAATCTATTAAAAATAGGTTACAGGAACCTTTCAACAAAAAATGAGATTTTTGATTCATATTATAATATATTAATAAACTTTATTTGGTTAAATTTTTAGAGGCTATTAGCTTATTAATTAAACAAGTAATTTGGCCAGCAAAAATGCTTAAATTTCTGTGTAATGTCAATCAAATATCTTAAATTAGATTTTATAGAAATGATTGATGTAAATTTTATCAATAAATAAAAATGCTTCAAAGTATGGTTTTAATAGCAAAATCTCAAAAATCTCAAGTATTATGAAATTGATGTAACAATATTTTTGACATGACGGATTTAATAGTAAAATTTTAGATAATTTATAGTTTCATTATTTTTAAAATAATTTAATATTTGTAAAAATAATTATTATAATAAATTGTTATATATATATAATTAAGGTATCGCTTTATTAATTTTTTTTTTTTTACAGTTCTGGTGATTGATACATAACGTTATGACAAGAATCTTATGAAACTATATGTCAGCCACATCCCTAGGTCTCTGCCAGCTCATATGTCTATTGGCAACCCATATCGATAAACTGGCCCAGATATTGCTTTGTCGGCGGAATTAAGCCCTTACAGAGGATTTGACACCCCTCCAGTTACAATCTATCTGGAAACTACATACCACTATAGGACTGAGGGATTCATTACACCATATACCTTGCTAGGGTATACTCTTACCCGACTAATGCCACAAGATTCATGGGATCATTACTACAAGATTTGCCCAAAAGGTGAACTAGCTGGGTGATGATCTGGCCATATCGACAAACATCTTAGGAATCGAACCTAACCTCAGACCCAATCCCTATAAGAAATTTATATACAGAATTGTATATGGTAATAATACGTTTTAATATTCGTAAAAAATGTATAAAATA